TTTGTTTAGGAATCTTAAGTGTTTTCCTCTTTCCTCAACACTACTTATTGCCATCACGTAGAGCTCTGACAGAACACCAGTAACAGACAAAAATGATGTCATGTGCTACTTGTCTTCTTTCCACAGGTCCGCTTTCTAATGTTTGTAAATGTATATACTACTTACAAATATATTAAGATCTTAATATGTTAATATTCATATATTAATTCCACCCTAATATACCTAATGAAGTAAAATGTACTTCTGTCATTTCATTTTTACAGTTTTACTATTTTAAAATATAAATAACTTTAGTGTATGCTCTAGTTGACATTGAAAAGTGATTTGAATGATAAATACAGCACCCTCTCCCACCATCCCCCACTCAGCAATATTTTTACTAACAAAGTTTTTGGTACTTCATCTGTTTTCAGTTGAACTGTTTTAAGTTTAAAACAGATGCAAAATGTTTTTGAACTATTTACCTACATAAATAAATGTTTTTCCAAAGAATGTTTATGTGGTTTTTGTGTCCTTAAAATTGCTAAGGTTTTAAGCACAAATATAAATTCACCCTTTAATGAAAAAAATTAAACCAGTAATATTTGTATTTTAGGACTCTTTTTACGTTCCAGATCACAGAAACCAACTCAGACTAGCTTAAGCAAAAAAAGAGTACTGATTGGCTCATACAGCTGAGAAGTCTAGGTAGGGTAAGCTCTAGCGGCCCTGTGTCATCAGGGCTGGCTGGCGCTCCCCTTCTCGGTCTCCCCACCACTTCACTCTACCTTTACTTCCTTGGTATAATAATCCAATTCTCTCCTCCTGCTGCTGGGCTTCCTCCCTAAAGCTAGGGAATGTAGCTTCCAGCAATCAAAGGCTTTAATATTGCTGATTTTGCAACCCCAAAGAAAAGAAACCTTCTCCATAATCCACAACTCATCTCTAGGGAAACATTCTGATTGGCCTTGCTTGGGTTATGTGCCTTCTTTGAATGGATCTCTCTCTCAAGGGGAAGAGATCCCTGTGATTGTCCAGGCATGAATCATGTGGCTGCAGCAAGGAAGGGTGTGGGGGTAGGAAAGGGGTGAGGCCCACAGGGATTATGGTTGACAGCTTTACTTGATCCACATAAAATGGGAGAAGGATGGGTCTGTCAGAAATAACATATGCCCACAGCATCTGGTAGGCTAAAAAGTACTGATTCGTGTATGCTTAGTCCTTCCTTCTGCTCCTTTCTAAGAAGTTTTTAGTAGCAACCTTTTCAAACTTATTTCCATGAAAAACATCTTAAAACTAAAGGTTCATATGTAGGAAAAAATAAGAGCACTTCGATCATAACATAAAAAGGCAAAATTTCTTTTCCCCCAGAGAGTAAATATCCAGGCTTGAAATGATGGTATTACTGTGAGTTTTAGTATTACCATGTGTAAGGGGATGGCACAGTGTTAAAGTGCTTGGCTGCTAACCAGAAGGTCAGCAGTTTGAACCCACCAGCTGCTCCTGAGGAGAACGATGTAGCAGTGTGCCCCCATAAAGATTTACAGCCGTGGAAACCCTATGGGGCAGATCTGCTCTGTCCTATACGGTCACTATGAGTTGGAATTGACTCGACAGCAGTGGGTTTAAGGCTTTACTATTTATAAGATGCTTTCATATATATTACCTCATTTGACCCTTATGGTTTCTTGAAGTTTTTCTCTTTTTAATATCCTAAGACAGCTAGTGTGTATTTTTTCCTTTGTTCTCATAGTATTTCCAATTCAGAGTAGCATAGAATTTGTTTTAAAATGAATGAGGACAGACAGTAATAAGTGTTGGCAAAGATGTGTGGAAATTGGAACCTTTATACCCTGCTGTTGGGAATGTAAAATGGTGCAGCCGGGTAGAAAACTGTTTGGCAGTTCCTCCAAAAAGTAAACATAGAATTACCATATGACCAAGCAATTCCACTCTTTAATATATACCTAAGAGAATTGAAAGCATATGTTCCCACAAAAACTTGTACACAAATGTTCGTAGAAGCATTATTTGTAATTGCCAAAATGTGGGAACAGTCAAAATGTCCATCAGCAGATGAATGGATAAACAAAATGAGGTATGGATATACAATGGAATATTATTCAACTATAAAAAGGAAGGAAGTACTGATACAAGCTAGAGCATGGATGAACCTTGAAAACATATGCTAAGTGAAAAGAGGCCAAACACAAAGGTCACATTTGTATGAAATGTCGAGACCGGTAAATCATAAACACAGAAAGTAGATTAGTGGTTGCCAGGGGCTGGAGGTAGTGAGAAATAGAGAGTGATTGCTAATGGATACAGGGTTTCTTTTGGGGGTGATGAAAATATTCTAGTATTAGATAGTGGTGATGGCTGCACAACTCTGTGAATGTACTAAAAGTCACTGAATTGTACACTTTAAAATGTTTAATTTTATGGTATATGAGTTGTATCTCATTTAAAATAAATAAATGAGGATTTAAGAGTTCCAAGCTTAGTTATGCTATTTCAATGAAAACTTAATTTCATGTAATTTCTGCCTACCTACCCCTTGTTGCTCCTGACAAATGGTCTAAACTCATCTACTGTTGCACTCCAATGAATATCTTATACTCTAGCTACCAAATGACTTACAATTCCCAAAAGCAGCATGCCACAGCATTCACATTTTTTTCTTTACCCTGAATGTTCTCATGCTCAGTTATTCCCACCTGTTCTGTTTCAGACAAACTCCTGTTCATATCTCAGAACCCTTCACAAGTGTCTTCACCTATCTGGAGTCTTCTCTGATCAACCCTAGAATAGTTGATTTCTCTTTCTTATCATACCACCATAGTGTATATCACACTATATGACAGTAATTTCTTTTCAATTCTGTTTCCTCCACTAAAATATCAGCTTCTCAGGGCAGGAACTACTTGTTATTCATCTCTGTATGCCCAGCGCCTAACACAGTTCCTAGCAAATAGTAGGTGTACGATGGTGATAAGAATAATATAATATACTTAGTGTTTACCATATGCCAGATATTACTCAAGATACTTTACATTTATCAATTCATTTAATCATCACAGCAGTCCAGTAAGTTAGTTGAGCACAGAGCGGTTACATAACTTCCTCAAGGTTATCCAACAAGTAAGTGGCAAGGCTTAGAGATGATCCCAAGCAGTCTGACTCCAGAGTCTGTGTTCTTAACCACTATGCTATACGTTATCACATGTATCAATAAATGGTTAAGCACATAAATTAATGAACTTTATAATTTTAATTTCTTTTAGACCTAAGCTGCTTTTACCCCTTTTCTTAACTAGGATGGCTTTTCAGGAGTTGTGTATATTAAGTTTTGTTTGAGTTGCTGTAGATACTAATGTAATATTGATGTAGTATTCAAATAATTCCCTCTGGTAATTTTTTCCTTTTTCTCAAAATGGATACAGTAAGAAATCAACTATATAGCAAAGAAAAATTTACTGAGAAAAATGTGCTCAGTATTTATGCCCACTACTTTTAGGGTTGTTGCTTCTACAAAGACCTGTGAGGACTGTGGTCCCATGTTAGTATTTTAGGCAATTGGAGCATCCCTCAAAACCTAGAAACCACTCATGCTGTACTCAGTTTTAAAATTTCCTCATAGGTATAATCTAAAATTCTACAGCAGAGAAGTGGGTTTATGTACAAAAGCTGGAGAGCAGTGCCAGCATTTCTTTCTGTTTTGTCACATGTCAAATATAATACAAAAAATATAAACCAGCCATTGCTAAAGGGGCACAAAGTTTCTGTTAAGAGTGATGGAAAAATTTGGAAACGAATAGTAGTGATGGTTGCACAACATGGTGAACATAGCTGACATCACTGAAATGTACACTTAAGAAACGTTCAAATGGGAAACACTTTGTTATATGTATTTTTACCACAATAAAAAATATATATATGCCAAAAATAAGCCATAGTTTTTAATAGCTAGAAGTAAATAGTAGACTATATATTTTCTTATTTTCAAGAATAGTAATTTGTATTTATAGTAATAAAAAGGACTTTTATTTGCTGAGAACCCTGAATCTTTAATAAGGATCCAGCAGCCTAGGGGAGACATAAATCTGGTAGTTTTTAATTATTAAGACATAGCAACTATATTATTTGTCTTTTACCTTCCCCAAAAGCATATTTTCCTTGCTTAATTTAACTTTCTTGGTAAGAGTGAATAGAGCCTGAGTGTGTTACTATATTGATAAAACATTTACTGGCACAAACACTAGTAGACCTGTCTAGTTGACTTTTAATGACATCATCAAAATTTCATTTTGGTTTATTACAGCGCGTTCATGTAAAGTTGGAGTTTAACCATCCTCATACCTCCTTGTTATGCCTAGGGAATCTTGGAGACAATATTTTTACCATCTCTGTTCTGTAGTCCTCATACTTTTTCTTTTTATGTTCATTCTCTAAAGATAAAACATGTAAGTGAAAACATTCAATGAACATTAAGAACCTGCTTTGACCTGGCACACTCCTCCCCCGCAGAATTTCCGCATTGCCTGTGCCTCTTAATAGCCATTCTTGAGCTCTCTTTCTCTTCTATATTTCTCCCTGCAGCTTTCCTAAACATCAAGGTTTTCCTTTTCTTTCCATTTCTAGCTTTCCTTTCTCTGTACCTCATCTACACTTGGAGGCTGCAGGGCTTTAGCACTTGTCATGCCAACCTCTACACATCGCATCTCTGTCTGTAGTTGGGTCTCCATGGTAATGAGCAGCAGAAAGTGCTGAAGTAGCACACTATGCAAGGACTGGCAAGAGAAAACAGTGCTGTGGCCTGTACAGGAATAGCACTTAATCCCCATGATGCTGAAGAAGCCAGAGAGAACGACGCCGTGGTGTAGAGCTGGAGACTCCCCCAGTTAAGGACGGCAGACTTGGCTGATTTATTAGCAGCAGTATTCTAAGATGAACTTAATTTACAGTTAGTAAGTGCTTTTTTCAACTGGAAAACTTTAAAATTTTTTTCCTTCTTCTTTCAGGCGACCAGATGCTCCAGTGCCTAATGGTGAAGGTGAAAAAAATACAGAAGAAAGTTCAGATAGTGAATCTTCTTTTAGTGACTAAGCTTAATTTTGATAAGAATTTCATATACATGTGTAGGTATACATTTACATTCTATAAGAAAGAGAACCTAAACTTGAACTCTTAGTCATAAAAACATCAAATGACCGCATACCCACCACCACTTTTTCTCTACTTTAAAAATAAAACATTTATAACCTGGCAGTATGTCTTATTACCCAAATAAAGAGCCCTAAACTGAAAAATAACCTGAATAAAGTACTATTGTTACAAATACTAAGGTGGAATATTTCAGGGATGCAATGAGCATTAAAATGAAGTCAATTTACTTTGAGTTTAGTGATCGAAAAATAAACTTTTGATCACTCCGTCTAAAGTAAAATTTGGCTAAGTGAGTCATTCAATTTTTTTGTGAATATTTTAGCATGAAAAGTATGTATATTCATATCATAAGACTTGTTAAAGAAATTTCTGGCAGAGAGTAGGATTCAATTGAAATTTTCTATGAAAACTTGAAGGTTTATATTGTGGATATGGAATTTATTGCTAGTATTTATTAGCATATAGAGCTTTTTACCACTTGGCCATTAGTTCATATAGATATATTATCAAAGTCAAATAGTCTTATTATATTTATTATCAGGTAGAAATTGAACTGAAGGTAGTTTCAGTATGGGTCAGAGTGGGCAAGCAATCATTGTCATCAACTAGCAACTATTGTATTGTCTAAACAGAAAAAAAATATTTAATGTGCACAGGTTTAAAATGTTCTTCTCACCTCATCTTGCAAATAATACTTCATAAATAATTATTTGCACATAGTTAGAAAATCATTAAAATGCTTATGTGGAAAGATGTTTTCTTAGTTTTATAGGACTTCCATAATAAAATACCACAAAGTGGGTGGCTTGAAAGAACAAAAATTTATTGTTTCTCAGCTTTGGAGGCTAGTTCGAATTCACGGTATCCATAGGGTTATGCTCTGTCTCCCTGTCAGCTCAAGAGGAACATCCTTCTTTGTCTCAGCTTCTGGTAGCCCCAAGCCTTTCTTGCTGTTCCTTGGCTTGTAGATGTGGTGCTTTCCCTTGTGTATGTCTGTGTTCCTGTGTCTGTTCTCCACTTTTATAAGACACCACTCAAAAGGAATTAGGATTAGGACCCACCCTATTCCATTATGTCCTCATTTAATTTACCTGATAACAAAAGAAAAACCCTATTTCAAAACAAGGTCACATTCACAGGTACTTTGGGTTAGGACATCAACATATCTTTTTAGGAGGACACAGTTCAATCCATTACAGATATATAAATGCATTTGATTGATGATACTCATCTTAGTTTAGATCACCTAAAAGTAGAGCCTCAGGAAAGGACTGGGTGTCCGTAGGTGGTTTGTGAGGTGATCCAGGAAGCAGGAGTGAGAGAAGGGGGAGAGTGAGAGAGAGAAACCAATATAAAGGTGTATTATGAAGCTTGTCTTCGTGGGCTTAAGTGCACCAAGACCTGAGAAGCTTACAGAATGCCTCCCAGAATTGTTTACCTCCCTAATGGACAGAGATGGAATCATTTTTTAATTGGTTTCCATCCCCCATTACCCCCATTATTTTTACACAAATAATGCGCACCTTCTACGTTTGCTTGCCAGCCACGCCACGCCCCCCACCATGTATTTTTGCAAGCACTGTATGCTAATTTTTTAGCAACATGTTAAAAAAAAAAAAAAAGGCATAGTGGCACTTATAAAATACCTTGTAGGGGGAGGGTGTGGCTGGGAAACAAACATACGATTCATGTTATTTGTGTAGTTGAAAGTTGCCCTCAGGGGCATTATCTGCCCCTTCACTTCTGGGCTATGTTTATGCGTGGAAAAGTAGGCTCCCCCAATATTGAGAAGACCTTGAGACAGAAAGCAGAAAGATGCAAGACCCAAGCTTGAGGTGGGATTTCACCAGCAGAAGACAATATGTGCTCATTTAACAACTGTCCAGTACAGTTGTGACTGATATCAGAAGTGAGCAAGGGGATGTGATTATGTGGGGCAAGAGAACCCTGGTGGTGCAGTAGTTAAGAGCTTGACTGCTAACCAAAAGGTCAGCAGTTCGAATCCACCAGCCACTCCTTGGAAACCCTACGGGCAGTTCTGCTCTGTCCTGTAAGGTTGCTATGAGTCGGAATCAACTCAATGGCAGTGCTTTTTTTTGTTTTGTTTTTTTTCAATCCCTTGACTATTCAGAACTGTGTGAGCCCCATGTTAAGTCCCCTCTGTCACCAAGTCTTTAAGGTGATGACCAGCCACAGTCTCTATTAAAAGACTTCACAGGACGATTAGTGAGACAAACTACCTTTCCTGTTGCTGCAGTTGAATCCAAAGACAAAATTGATACTCTTCATCTCTTTCCTCCACCACCAATTTTAGATTTCTCGTTTTCTGCCAGAAATTCAGTTGGTCTAGGTTGGTTGCCTGGTAGAGTGACCCAGATCTTCATCCCTTAAACTAAGGTTTAAGGCCTTGGTTGCTTTGCCCTTTTTAAGTTGTGTTTGTCACAATTGCCTGCCTGTGTGCTATTTACACCAGTTATAGAAGCACTAAGATGTGTCCCAATGAATCACCCAAGTTCCAAACATTCTCCCTATTCCATTTAATAGTCGCAACCCTAGCTATTCATGTTAAAAACGTTTTTCTGGCCTGTTCTCCTTTATGATTAACCTAAAGGAACCAATTGGCAGAGGTGGTTCAGTTCAGTGGAACCCCTTAGTGTGCTCCCTGGTGGAAGTGTGCCAGCTCCTTCCACCTACCCTGTCTGGGAACCAGGACCTCCAGTCCAGCATAGTGTAAAGTGGCAGAGATGGAAAGCACAATTCTGCAACTGGGTTACTGGGAATAGTGATAAGAAAGTCCAATACTACTTCTATTATCTTCGTTCCTGGACTCATGTGTTTTAGCAGTTGGGGACATGGCATCATATATTAGTCATTGGTATAGTGTGTATACTACATCCTGGAGAACAGCACCCCAACCCTGCAGGATGTTATCTCTGAGCTGGTGCCTTAGTTGGGCTTTCAATAGGTCATTTCATTGTTGTGTTAGATTGGCTGCTTCTGTATAATGCTGACTGTCCAGGGCTGTCTTGTACAACATAATCATATCCCCTTGCTCACTTCTGATATCAGCCACAACTGTACTGGACAGTTGTTAAGTGACAGGACCAGTGGACCTAATGGGGCCCTGGTTGTGTAGTGGTTAAGAGCTACAGCTGCTAACCAAGTGGTCAGCAGTTCGTATCCACCAGCCACTGCATGGAAACTCTATGGGGTAGTTCTACTGTGTCCTGTAGGGTCTCTGTGAGTCAGAATTGACTCAACGGCAATGGGTTTGGTTTTGGTTACTGGATCTAATAATCATGTATCTATTGTTGCTCTTCATTTGCTGCAAAATAGTCTCTTGGTCTGAGACACTGCAATACAGGATTTAAAAAAAACCCAAACCCATTGCTGTTGAGTTAATTCTGACGCATAGCAACCCTGTAGGATGGAGTAGAACTGCCCTATAGGGTTTCCAAGGCTGTAATCTTTACAGAAGCAGACTTCCACATCTTTCTCCCACAGAGTGGCTGGTGGGTTCTGACCGTCAAGCTTTCAGTTAGTAGCCAAGTGATAAACACTGCACCACCATGGCTCCTTGTAATGCAGGATACCATGATATGGTAATAGGCATTCTGTAGGCTATCAGATAGTAATGCTGACAGTGGTACTGCTGCAAGGGAAGCAAGCTCATATTCAGAGTAGAAATTAAGTATAGGAAAGAATTGTTTCCTCTTCTGTGTGGAAAATATTTAACGTAAACAACTTGCTTTCAAGTGGCTAGTTAACTCCTAGAGGAATAGTACAAAATCAAAGGCTCAACATAAGTCTCTGCTGCTGACAAATCAGGTGTTCAGCATTGGCAGTAACTAAATCAGCCTTAGTGGGAGGAAATCCAAGCTGTTGGGCCCATGCATAGCCTCCATCTCCGTCTGCCACCAGGATTACTCCATTCACGGCCCATTGTGTAAGCCAGAGGTGGTGAGGGACAAGGTTGGCTGACATCTACAGAAGGAATCATCCTGTCTACCTAATCTTTGCCTCCTCTGATGGTTGCTCTCGTATTGGCATTCTGTGGTACAAAGATTTGCACACTTTGTGAACATCCCCATAGTTTTGTCCATATGCCTCATCCTCAGATCTTTCTCCAGTCTTTCAGTCTTGCTCCTTCCATGTGCCTGACCAACCAGCCAAGCCTGTTGCTACTGATTAAAAGTCTGTTTATTCTTAACTAAGGCCATGTCTTTCTACATCAGCGTGGATGACCAAGTGTACTGCTTGCAGCTCTGTCCATCAGGAAGATTTTTTCCTCACCACTAACCTTTAGGTCCACCTCTGAGAAAGACTATAGTGTAGTAGGCAGCCATGTTTGTCTCACACCAAATATCAAGCCGGTCCATCCATGAACAATGTCCACTTTTGCCTCTTCTGTCAGCTGGTGTGCTAATATTGCAGAAAATAGCCTCGATTTTTCACTTCTCCCTATATCCATTCCCTTTGCCATTTAATTTTACATTGCCTGTCCACTCTCGTGGGGTACTCTGCCTCACCCCTTAATTCTAGTTCAGAAGTGTTTTGCTTGGGCTAATGGAATCGCAGCAAATGTGACCCAAGGAAAGGCTTACAAATTGCTTGGGTGATTGGTCTTGCCCTTGCTTGTGCTTCTGTCATTGACATAAGAACTGGGGTAGTCTGATGGAAGATGAGAGACATGAGGAGCAGAGCTGAGTTGCCCCAGTCACCAGAAGCCAATGCCAAAATATGTGAGCAAGCCCAGCCAAGATCAGGAAATCTGCTTAACCAATTTCCAGCTGGTTGTAGATGTATGAGTAATACATGCTCATTGTTGATTGTCATTAAGATATTTTTGGTTGTTTATTATACAGCATTATTGTGGTAATAAGTAACTGATCACAGCACATCATAGGGAACTCCCCATGAGATAGGAGTAGGTTGAAGGAGATGCATTAGTGCAGAAGAAGTAAATGATATGAGAATCTAGGCCACTTGTTTATGTAACTTACATGTGCCCTCTGGACTTGCTCAGGCTTAATCCCAAATGTACCTTCCACTGAATGATGAATTGCTACTGTGACTATCAGATCTTATCATTTGGTATCTGATAATACCCAGCTCATGATGGGCAGCTCCACTTAATCACTTGGTGTCATATGGTCAGGTTCTCAGTTTCTACTGGGCACAGAGGCATACCACGGGTTACTTTTGAAACAGTGAAAAGGTATGACCTTGCTCCAGAACCCTAGAAGCAGGAATCTATTGGGGATTGCCAGAGATGCTACACAACGTTCTTATCTACCAAGATATCGCTAGCATCAGTGGATAGGCTGAGTCATATAGTCTGAGCAGGAGGCAGTTTGCATCACAGCTGAGCCTGCAGCAGAGCCCTCTCTTGCTCTGTACCCCCCTTGAAACTGGCAGCCTTCCAAGTCATCATAAATGAGTCAGAGCAGTATTTCTAAAAGTATATGATGCTTTCAAATGCCAAAGAAGTGCCCAACGTGCTGTGCCTCTTTCTCAATGGTAGAGAGTTTAAGTTCAATACCTTTACTTTGTTGGAAATGTCCCAGCATCCTCCAGACTACTGGACCCCTAGAATCTGCAGCAATGTGGCTGAGCCCTGAATCTTCCATCTTCTGGCTTGTGTGTATCTTATAGGGCACCAAGAACTTGCTGTTCATCAGATCTGATTAGCCTGATGTTATCCTTATAGAGGACCAGCACAAGGTTCTGTGGAATGTCAGGAGGATGAACAAGGTCCCAGCAGACTATACTGTGAGAGAGCAGGAGAGTTAACATAGCCAGGCGGCAAGAAGGTAAATACACAATGCTATCCTTTACTTGTAAATATAAATGCTTTCGATGTTTTTAATGATTGGGAAAAAAAACAGGTTTGCCAGATCAGTGTCCACATACCAAGTGCCAGAGACTGTGTTGATCAGTTCCAAGAAAGGTACCATGTCTGGCATAGCAGTTGTGATTGATGCTGCAATTTTGTTAAGTTTACTGTAGTCCTTGTCATCCACCATGGTCCATCTGGTTTTAGCAGGTGCCATACAGATGAATGCAGAGGGTGTTCCCACCTCTACATCCTTTAAGTCTTTAAAAGTGATGCTGCTGTCTGATTCCACTCACCATGCAACATTGTGTCTGGTTTACTCTCTTGGCTGGGATAGGAGATGCAGTTTCAGGGATTTCCAGTTGATTCTCTCTACCATAGTGGATTTTGTTCCATAGATCAGGGAACCAATGTGAGTCTGTTAAGAATATCTCTCCCATTTATGTACTCAGAGACCAGGGCAATAATCATGGGACCCATCTTGACCCACTGAAAACTGTGAAATTGGGGCTAGTGCTCCATTTATTACGTGGTCTCCGTAAGTCTTCACTTGAAGGACAGTGATAACATTTTAGGTCACTTGGTATTAAGTCAGCTCAGTCCTGTATCCAACAAGCTTCGAAAGAATTGAATGTTCCCGTTTCTCCAGTGTTCCTTTACTTTAATAAGTGATTTAGGGTCCTTTAGAGAAAAATTGTGTGAATACTTATTGTACATAATTGTGATGGCATAGGTGGCGCTCTTCAAAGGGCTTTGGCCCGCTTTCAGTTGACTGACAGAGTAGTT